GGGGGGGAGCGAAAGAATGCAGATGCTTCGATTAATTGTGGATCTGAATGTCAATTAGGAATGAACGTCCTTTCACCTTCCTTCACGTCAGTACCCTAGCCCACACCCTCAAGTAGGGATTGCTGATAAACAGTACGCCATTTATACTTATCCAAGGAAGGATTATATATGTCAAATTGTGGAAGATCTCATCGAAAATCTTTCCTGCCTTTTTCTGTGATGGATAGTCTTTCTCTAGGGAAAAAGCTGAGTTTTATACATTGATGAAATCTGAGAATTTCAACAAAGTTACTTTTCAAAAGAGTCTGTCTTTGACGGAAAAAATCGAAGTCAAATCTAAGATTAAAATAGCTTGCTTCTTCAAATCATACGCGTCGTCTTATTTATACAACACGATGGTGGAGAACGTGCACATAGAGTATATACAATCTGAAGAAGTATTGATTGAAAACAGCTGCTAGTAATAGTAGTTGCAATGAGACACTCATTAATATAATTGTCTCCTGGCTTTCTTATAATTAATATTCATAGTTCGATAATGTTCAAAAGAGAACTGCAATTATACTGTGTTGGGCTAAAGAGAGCCAATTAAGTGCGAAATAGACTATCTAATCTAAAATGTACTAAAGAAAACCGTTGATGAAGATTGAATGAATTATTCAGGCAGAAAGCATTATCAGAAAGAAACTTGACAATCGTTCCCTTACTTACCAAGACTGTATCTTTCTTGGAATCATACGAACCTATGATAATTTAAGAAGGGGTTTGCAAGAAGACCGATCGGTATGAAGCAGCAGTCAGCTTCAGAAAAATTTTAGTTTCACAATCTCTTTGTTTCATTGGAAAGCCCATAAAAATTTGTTCTGATAATCCAAATACTTCGTTCATTCTAATTTACTAATAGAAAATTACAAGGATCCTAATTCTTCAGACTTTAGAATCCAGGTCGTATTTTGCAATTTGCTTCTGCATCATTTGATAGTTTGAGTGGCAAAACATCTCAGGTGATAGATATTTTTTCCCTACACAATAGGCTATTTCTATTTTTATTTTTGAATATCATTTTTATGAGAAACTGATCAAGTCAAAGAGAAAAGAGAACATATTTTTGATTATGAATTTCAGAAACATGGACGATGATCCTAGCAAAGTATGAGCTATTAGCCTGAGTTTTACATATATTGTAGTTCTCATGACGACTCGTCTTTTGATATAATTTTCTCAGAGAAATTTTACTAGAAGATTAAAAGACTTTTGCTCACAAAAAATCGAACATGGTTTTGTTTCATCATCTGGTCTATATGACATTACTGAATTATTTTGTGAATAACTCGAGTATGCAATCACTTAGATGGCATGATTAAAGATAAAGAAAACGTTCATTGAGTACAATGAATTTTATTAATATACCTCTAGAGAAAGATAATTGAAGGTTCATTAATCTGATCTACATGGTACGTATCAATTACATCATGTAATCTTTTAGACCGAAATAATCGAACTTCTTAATTCATTGAATATTAACAGTTTTCGAGAAACATTAAAAATATAGTGTGACTTCAATAATTGCAGCTATTTTCTTATTAAATGTGACTGAGACCAGGTTTTATCACTAGATTTCTAGCGCATGAACTCCACTATTTCATTATTCGGCATAAACTCGCTCTTTCTGACGTTTCTATTAACACAATCATGATTTTAGCACTCTAGAGAAAAATAGACCTTGAGAATGTCGGTGTGTGTAGGGGTAGGCTAACAGAAGACCAACACACGTACAGCAACAAAATAAGATTCCAAATAAAAAAATACCTCCTGTAACACAGAGACAATATGGCATTAATCAGACTCATGTCGAGGTCAATTAATAATGTGTGAAACTTAGTTCTCTTATTTTTTCAGTTGTTTAGTGACAAGTTCTGAATGCAAAATAACTTAATGATTTACCGAATATAACACGAATCCTCGACCTTTATACTTCTTTTCTAATTGTGAAATTTCAAAGTATGTAGATAGTTATGTATTCGAAATATTCATGAAATAATTCAGTGACGATATATTATTATGAGGATAAAACGATACTCTTTTCGATCTTTTGTGAACGAAAGTTTTATAATTTTCTAGTAAAATTTCTCAAAGGAATATATATCGAAAGACAAGCTATCATCCGAACTACAATATATCTAAAATTCTACCTGATAGATCTTACTTCGCTAATATTTTCGTCCCAAATTCTGAAATTCATGACCGAAACTATGTTGTTATTTTTTTCTGATTTGATCAGTTTCTCATAAAAAAATGGTATTCAAATAAATAACAGCAACAAACGATTTCATAGAAAAGGAATCTATACCATCTGAGATGGTTTGCGCCTCAAATTATCAAAAGATGCAGTGGAAAATTGTAAAATATGATCTAGATTGAAAAAGCCAAGTTTTCAAATATGATCTGAATATTTCAAGCGTTAAGGCTCTCGCCATTTTTTATTAGTGAACCAGAATGAGCGAATATTTTGAACTTTTTAAAAATTATATATAGGCTGTGGAATGAAACAAACATATTTTGAAATCTGAAATTTTTCGGCAGCCGACCTCTGCCTAAGCCGCTTTTCTGGAGGGCCTTCTTTTAAAAACCAAACAGTAATACCCAATCAATTTTAATTTGATAAAACACCAATCATTGTCATTTGCCATCAATTGAGAATTCTGACAAATACTTCAATTTCTCGACGACATATTGGACACAATGACAATAAATGACCACAAGGAATACATGTAGTCAGATGACCACATGGAATACAGACTAACCGTTTTTCTTCTCTTTGGCACACAACACAAGGATCGGACGGTGCTGCATTAGTTGGTTGATTTTCATGGTGAGCATTACTCGGTTGTTCAGTTGTTGGCGTTTCATATTCCTTACCAGTGGTTGATGGTCTTGAAATAGAAATTATAGAAGATGGAGAAGACGTAGATTCATGTCTTAATGATTGAAACGATATATTCATTTCAGCATGAGTAGAATTTGACGATATTCGAACTGCATTAGGCATAAGTGATATTTGTTCAAGCATATGTGTTTCTAGAAAATAAGCAGATAGAAATTGAGCCTATGCTCATAAGAAACTTACTATTTTGTTCTCTAACTTGTTTCATTTTTATGCTTGGTATGACAATATGTTCATTTTGTTTTTGAAGAATTAAATAAGCAATATATAAATCACAATCAGATACAAAATCATCGTCTAAGATACATTTTGCAAAAATACAAAAGAAAATACATTATTCATTAACTCACTTTTTATTCTTAGCTGATCTTCCCAACATCGTTTAATAATAGATACGTCAAAATTTTGACGTAATAAACGTTGTGACACCGGTAAATCTAGTCGAGCAGCAACAAGTCTCGATAAAGTACTTTCATCAGATATCAATAACTGTCGACTATTTGTAGTTAGATCAGTACTTAGAGTACCACTAATGTCTGTGCTTTCTTTTATATCATCAGTTCTGACACATTCTAGAAAAAAAAAACAAATACCACCTTAAAGTTATCAAAACGTACCTCGCTGCACTCGGCTAGATTCCTGAATTTCACGATATAAATCATCATTACATAACTGTCGAGCATATGCACAATGTGGAAACCAACGAGCATGTTCAGTCATTGGATTATCATTTGGACCCAAGCTTTGTAATGATCCGTTACAATAAAAACAAGTAACAATCGTTGTTGTACCAGTATAGAAAAATCCTGCTCGAACAAAATCATCTATTGATAGTAAATCTTCATTTGGCCATGTAGAAAATGATGCAAGACGTTCTGATTCTTCTAAATAAGCAGGATTACATAAAGTTGGAAGTATAATATCATTAGATCGAAATGGATCAAGATTATTTGAGGCGAATGAAAGACTGTTTGAAGCTACTTTCATTGAAGTTTCAGGCTGTATTAATTTTGCTTTAACATATATACAATTAGGTGAAAGTGTTTTATGTACTTCACATGGATCATCTGTATCTGGTGTCCATTGTTGACAAATAAGATTACAATAAATGCATATCACTTGATCACCGACATTGGAATTAAAAAATCCAGCTTTTATCATTAGTGCACTTGATGGAATGGTACGATGTGGCCAATGAGAAAAGGTACGTCTTCGCACTTGCTGGAGTAAATCTGTTTCAAGTAAAGTATGTGAGGAAGATTCTGAATCCATCGGTTCGATCTTTTGGCGTTTAGAAGGATTTTCTTGTTCATTTGATATCGATCTCTTTCGAACATCAGTTGTTGATGAAGAGGACGAGACAGACATATTTGACAAAGAAACTCGCACCATAGAGCAAACGAATGGGCAATCCGGTTGACGTTTCGAATGAATGATAAATGGCTTCATATCTAACGTCCAGTTGGATACCTCAAGACCGCAGTCCTTACAACGAGCTGCGTCTCCACGACCTGTATACTCAAATCCGGCGGCAAACATATAGCATACACTGTGAATACCTGGTTTGTTTATTGATTTAGCTAATGACTGAATTCGATTGCGGATTTTAGCAAGAGTAAGTGAAGCTTCTTTCTTCTGATCAGACCATTTCGATGAAGAATCCATGGATTCAAATTTATGGGATGGATCACTGAGAGCATCGGTTGACGATCTAACATAAGCTGCTGACATTTTATATTAGCTGTATAATTAAATCTAAAAGAAACATAACATATTAAAAAGGTTATTTTATGTTATTTGGAAGCGTCGAGAAGAGTCTTATCATCCAAACGACCTCATTAACTATTCATTGAAGCAAAAAAACGAAAAATCAAGGCTACCTAGATGACATCAGAGTTTCACTAGGTCATGAAATGTGATGCGAAGTTTCGAACGTTGAAAAAGCCTAAAATCTCATTAAAAAACCGAACGACTTTTGATACAGTTAATAATAAAACGTTTTTCACTCAAAAGATATTTAGTTTTTTTATAGAAACAAGCCTTCTATTTTAGTCGTTCTAAATTAGAAAGGCTATATTTTCATGACGATCAAGATTCTCATCATAAAAAAAGAGAATTCTTCTCAACTACTTTTCATAGCAAGATTACAAGAATAATTCCAATTAAAACTTTGTTT